TGGGCTTAAATTGCAGGAAGGGCGGTTTAGATTGGAGATTAGGAAAAACTTCCTAATTGTCAGAGAGATTAAGCACTGGAATAAATTGCTTAGGGAGGTTGTGGAATCTCCATCATTGTCCAAACTACTCTTAAAAATCCCCAAACACCTGTCAGGGACGGTCTAGATAATACTTAGCCCTGCCTTGAGTGCAAGAGAGTGGACTAGATTACCTCTCGAGGTCCCTTCCAACTCTATGCTTCCATAGTTTTCGTCTGGGAAATTAATATTGGAACTTAAAATGACAAAATTAACGTCAATTTCACTAACAACTGAAGTTTATATAAAAAAGTTTATTTTTTAAAGCTCTTTTGTTGGTTTCCATTCTAAAACCAACTCAGATTATGGTGTGAACTCTTTTCATTCTTTATTACTCATCGAACCCACGGCACTTAATTTTGTTTATCCTGAATGCAATATATACAGGTTTAACAACTTCTTTAGGCATGTTGACAATTGGCCTTTTTGACAATTGGCAAAAAAAGTCCGTCTACACTTGCAAAAAAAATAAAAAAAAAAAAAAAAAAAAAAAAAAAAAAAATCACACAAAATCACACGAATTATTTAGGTGTCCAAATATGAATAAAAAGCCAAACTTTAGATAGTTGTTTATTTTTTTTGGCCAAGTATGTATCTAGAAATTCCCCTTTAGTTCTAACTAATATATGAAGCTCTAAAAAAATTTGTAAACAAATGGACCATGGGGGATGATTTAAGACAGTGTTTTTCAAACCGTGGGTTGCGACCCAGTACTGGGTCGCAGCATGTCAGGCACTGGGTCACTTTTCTCTGGTCAACACCGCTGACTGGGACGTTAAAAGTCCTGTCGGCAGTGCTGCCCAGCTAAGGCAGGCTAATGCCTACCTTTTTCGACACTGCGCTGTGCCCCGGAAGTGGCCAGCAGCAGGTCCAGCTTCTAAGCAGAGGGGCCATGGGGCTCTGCAGGCTGCCCCCTCCCCAAGCACCGGCTCCGCACGCCCATTGGCCAGATTGGCTAATGGGAGCTGGGGGGGGGGGCAGTGCCTGAGCCGCCTAGGAGCCAGCCCTGGGCACAGCTTCCAGGGTGCACTTCCAGGGCGTAGCGCGGTCTGCGGTGCTAGGACAGGCAGGAAGCCTGCCTCTGCACCTTGGCATTTTACTGCACTCAGATTGGCACATAATTTAATAGATTGAGATAACACACTGGACAAAGTTAACATTTCTAACCATTGGTCATTTGAAACAAGAACTATTTCCCACTGTGTAGCAGTACAAACTTAAGAAGAACTTTCCCCTAACTGACACATTTACTTACTATGTTCACTATGGCTCAAGTTTAGTCAGCTGATGTCAACTACAGAAGGGGAGTGTGTAGCCTTCTGTCATCTGTGCAAACCATAGGTGGCTTCTGTTTGAAATCTGAGCAGTATGTGCTTCTGCTTAGATCTCTGTGATAAGTTTTACTAGAACAGAGTTTCACATGAAATTTGACTTCAGAGTTGAAAAAAAAAAGAAATGCTCCAGCATGGACAATTTATTCACCCTCACAAACCTCCCAAATCCTCTGAGCTTACCTCCTCCTCCAAATACAAATTCTGATCCCCCTCCCTCCCAATATTACAGCCAATACCTTTTCTGGCTTCTTTGGATCTTATCTCCAACTCCCGTTTAGGCCCTCTTACTTTGACAGAGGAGGGAGGCTCCACGGGAGAGTTACAACTAAACATGCATGAACAATTTTCCAGCAACACATTTGACCTGTTAACAATCTCAAGAATGTTTTTCTCATCTTCAATACAACTTTTAAACATTGTTTTAAACACAAAAAAGTACTCCGTACGCATAATATGCATGATGTTGTGTTAGCTTGTTTGTTTAAAAGATAAACAGTTAAATTTTGAAATCTGCAACATTTGGTAGTGTCATTTTTCATAACACATGGCAACAAGATACTTCAAGGCCATGCTCTGAGGACTAGACTGTGTCCCACCTGACTTGAAACCATAGTCACTCAAAACTATATTGTCTCTCTAGCATCAAATGATTTAATGAGCCCTTCCTTAATTACTGGAAGAGTTAAATATATCAACATGAAACTTAAACCACAAATAGTTAAAGTTCTTCACAAGAATGCATAATATAAAAAAAAAGTTAAAACTACGAACAATGGTAAATATCAAAAATGTTTTATTTTCTAAAACATTGGTGGATTTAATGCTTGTGAGAGTAAGGGAAGAGCAGCAGGGGATAGACCCAGGCATAAAACAAGTAGGCTTAGTGAAAGTTTTCTAACATGGAAATGCACTTCAACCTGACCTGCAACACCCTTGCTACTAGTGCCTTGGGCCTCATCAACAGATACTGTCAGTCATGCTGTTTTGGTGATGTCCACAAGGGATTAGGTTGAGACCACAAAAGTTCTTTTCACATAAAACCTAAACAGGATTTCAGTCTAGATCTCTAGAGGCTAAAAAGCTAGTCCCCCATTCTAACAGTTGTAAGCACTCCACTATGCTTTTGACTGTCTTTCAAATGGAATTTCCTATTTAAAGCTGACAACAGATAAATGATTCTTTAATAGTTAATCCAACCAATGAACACAACAGCCAGCTAATGGACATTTTTCTTTCTATATAGCAGACGAGTCAGTTTTTTTTTTCCACTGAGCAAACAATTTGTATGCAGTTTCTGTAGGCTGTTAAGTATAGTATTGCAGAATGTCATGCAACATTAGGTAAAGCAACATTTTTATACACACTGAAATACCACATAGGGGTTTTTTTTTTTTGACTATTTGTATGCTTGTATATAATTTCCATCATATACACACAGGCTGTTGGAATTTATGTAAACTTTCACAGTGAAAAATCTGATCATGCAAATGCCTTTAGCAACTGTCTAGATAAAGGTCTAAGTTTCCAAATAGAAAAAGCTCCTTGCACTGAATTCCGAAGTGCTCTTTTTAACTCACAGTAAGTCAATTATACTCTATATATTTTATAAATAGCTGTTTCTACCTCATCTCCCAGGTAGTGTTACTTTCAAAGACAGATACATGATAACTCAAGGAGAAGTTATGGGCTGGATATAGGTTTGTTTGGTTTTTCGGGGGGGGTGGGAAAGCAGGAGGTCAACCTAATCAGAATGGTCCCTTCTGGCCTTAAAAATCTACGAAAAAAGCAAGTTACATATGTTAATCGGTATATTAGGTGTTCTTTTGCCAGACAAAACAATTTTTTTTCTTTAGAGGGGAGGAAGGTGAGGAAAAAAGGTAGGCAATTTAATTACTTTTCATTGCAAATTTATTTATAACATTTAAAGTTTTATCCCGAAACAATAATAATAAATAATTAAAAAATAAATAAATAAAAAATCCTCCCAAGCTAAAACCATTAAATTTAAAGTAAGCTTTAAACCGTTTTTATAAACTTCAATAAGCAAGATTTTATAGCTTTAAAACAATTAAAATACCCACAACTTGTATATGCTGAACACCACAACTGGTAATTGTGTTTTGCTCTAGATTTTTCTAATTTCACCAAAGCTGCTACAAGTGAAAATTTTCAGATCCTAAACAATACCACCACTTATTTACTTCATGTTGGCACCTCAGTAAGGAAATATTTTTATAGTTAAGAAAACAACCAAGTGTTTCCAGGTATAAACATGTCAAAATAATAGCAACAATTTATTTTGAACCATCATTGCTCCCTAGGGACACATGGATATCTCTAATGTTAGTCCAGTTCAGACTGGGCATGAAATTAGCTCTCTTTTCAGAGTTCTTCTCTGTTAGTAACTTTAAATCATTCTACATACATATTCTGCCACCTGTTGCTAGCAATTAGTGGGGCAACTTGTTTGAAAAACTGTTTTCCCTCAAAGCACATTTATGTTCAAATATGGGAAACATACATGCATGTTTAGCTCTTACATCCTGTGCATAATTTTTATGCCAAGTTGGCTGGTTACTACAATATTTGGTCTTTAAGGGGGTTTCTCCCTCAGACCCTAACTTCTCCCTTCACATGATTCTAAAGTCTGAGCTAATTCCAGTGACAGTCAATTCGGTGTACAGTAACCAGCATGATGAAGAGCCAACAAATAGAGGGGGACAGACTCCCAAGGGATCCCCCCAGAGGAAGGAAAAGAAGCCACAGGTTGTAGGGCCCCACTGACTTTAACAGACTGACTCGCATGATTATCTAGGTTACTGAAGCAAGATCTAGAAGAGCAAGACTTGACTGCTGCGTTTGCTTATCTGCAAATAATCAGATGCCTATCAAGTTAAAACAGTTCAATTTCCTGGGGAGGGAACTGTGCACAGCGTGTGCAATAAACTGCCCCAAGACTCTTCACTATATTTTAGACAAACGAGCAAAGGACCCAACCCAGGCAGGACAGAAAAGGCGAAATCACCCGGAGAGCGGCTGTATGCCGGGTCGGGCTGCTCTGAATACACACACGGATCTATGCGGGCAGAGCCAGCGCCGCCGGGGCAGCTCGCCGCGTGTCCCGCACACGCCCGGCCGCGGGGCAAGGCTGCGAACCCCTCGGCACTGCAGAGGAAGGGGCAGAGGGACGCGGTGACTCGCCCGGACAGCGAGACTGGAGCAGCCAGTGCCCTGTCCCCGCAGCCTCCTCCCGGCACTGGCGGCGTTAATGGAGCAGCCGGTACCCAGGCCGGCCGGGCGCACCACTTACTGTGTGCGGGGGCAGGGCGCAGCAGCACCGAACCCCGCGGAGGCGGCAGGTCCCTGTGCAGCGCGTGCGGCGAGTCGAGGCGAGGCGAGTCGAGTCCCGGCTGGGATCTGTAGCTGCCAAGACCTGGGGGAAACTCCCTCAACCGCCCCGGTCCTCACGCAAAGCGGTATGGGCGGGGCCAGAGCCGGGGGGGGGGGGGCGCTTAGCAGCGAGGGGGCGGGGCCGTGTCAGTGTCCGGCCGGACCAGGTGAGGGCGGGCGCTTCTGCCCGGGGGCGGGGCCTTTTCGTTCCAGGCTTGGCGGCGCTAGCGGCAGCCCGGGCCGGCTGGGACTGGCGGAGATCGGCCCGGGCAGAGCGATCTCAGGACCCGCCGTATTTCAGTGGCGGGTCCGGGGTCGCACCCATTAGGCGGCCTGGGAGGGTCCCGGGGGCCGCGCCCCACCGCAGGAGCCAGCGGGGATGTTGGCCGGAACAAGCGAGGTGAAGCAGTCAGGCACTGAGGCTCTGGGTGCGGACCGGGGCCAGCTCCAGCCAGCCCGGACCGGAGTCCCGGTGTTCTCGCCCCCACGGGCTGTCACAGCACCAGGGCGGGTGCAAGGGTGTTTCGCACCCTAGGCAAAACTTCCACCTTGCGCGCCCTCTTCCCCCCCCGCCCTTTGGCAGCTCCCCGACCTCCCCCGTGGCAGCTCCCCACCCCCCCTTCCGCCTGAGGTGCACCCCCCTACAACAGTCCCCCCTCACCGCCCTGAGGCACCACCCCTGCAGCAGCTCCCCGCCACAGCTCACCTCTGCTCCTCCTCCTGCCCGAGCATGCCACTTGGAGATATCCTATCCTATCTCCTAGAACTGGAAGGGACCTTGAAAGGTCATGGAGTACAGCCCCCTGCCTTCACTAGCAGGACCAAGTACTGATTTTGCCCCAGATCCCAAAGTGGCCCCCTCAAGGATTGAACTCACAACCCTGGGTTTAGCAGGCCAATGCTCAAACCACTGAACTATCCCCCCCCAATCCAGCCAATCAGCTGTTTGGTGCCGCAAGCCTGGGAGGGAGGGAAGCAGAGCAGGGCCGCGTGCTCAGGGGAGAAGGCAGAGGAGAGGTGAGCTGGGGCGGGGAGTTCCCATGCGTGCCGCCCCCCCTTACTTGCTGCAGGCGGCCCTCCCCACGCCCCCTGCCTAAATGCCGACGACGACTGGGGCAGCCGAAGATCCGGCAGCCGCGGTCACCGCCGAAGGACCCGAAATGCTGCCCCCCCAAATGCTCGCGCCCTAGGCAACCACTTAGGTCGCCTAATGGATTGCATCGGCCCTGCACAGTGCTCCGCAATTGCTGCCAGGAAGGCCTGGGAGCGGAGGTGATCATGTGGGAGACACCACCACACATCTCTGAACACGGGGTGGGAAATGAAACAGAGGGACCCGTGAGGTCGCACAAGGGTGGGAGGCATTAACTTTGTCCAAGAATCTCTATGATTTTCCCTTGTTTTTGAGTTAAGGGCAGGAGCATGCGTGCTGGACTGTAGCGAGGTGGAAAGGAAGGGCTTCAATTACCTTTGGTAAATGAAATAACCAATCATTCTTTTTCTGATATAGCTATATAAGTAATCTGAAAAGTTTTCAAAATAAATCACTTTAAAAATGTATAGTATGTACCTTATAAAAATGAAACTTACATCTATCTCTGCGTTGTGAAGAATACGTATTAAGGTTATAACAACCAACAAGAATGCACTTTTATGTAGAAATCCATGATTAAATTGAGTCTTCCTGACTAGTGATTTAAATCAAATCCTCCCTGCAAGATGTTCTTTTATTTTGTCTTGAAGCTGAACTGAAGCTCTCAGGTACCAGTGACCTGGAGGTGGCAATGCCTGGCGCTTTCTGACAGAATCTTCTTAGTTCCATGCTCAGAGAAGGCAAGGTGAGTCTTTCGCCCTTTCTCCTTCAGGTTTCCCATCCTCTGTGGTTGCTGCAGTGCAGCCTTTCCCCTACTGCGTTTTGCCTCACGTATGAGCAGTTGCCCAAGCAAAGCCCATGGTTCTTCCCTGATGGTCAAGTGGTGAGCATTTGGTGCTCTAACCACCACGGCTATGGGCTCAGTTCATGGTCAAGGGTCCTGCTTTGATGCTTTTGCCAAGACTGATCTTTGGAGGCTGCTTTCATCCTCAGAAAGGTGTTTTGAATGCAACAAGTTCTAGTGTCTTATCATAGAACCATGGGGTTAGATGGGATCACATCTAGTCTAACCCCCTGCCAAGATGCAGAATTTGTTGGGCCTAAACTATCCACGACAGAAAACTTCCAGTGAAGGAGCTTCCACAACCTCTTGTTTTTCCCTTTCAGGTGTCTCTTTTTTCTTCTTCTTTTGTTCCACATTCCTTGCACCCTCTTTCAAACTCCAACCTCCAGGGCCTGGTCTTGATGGGCTTCTGACCTGTCCTATGGCCAGTCCCTGTCTTGTCATCTCACTTACATGGTACTCCAGCTTGTGTCAGCATTGTGCAGACAGGGAGTTTCTTTCCCCTTATCCCTGGTCAGAATTTGGTGCTCTCATTGCCATGGACTGGATTTGATTCTCAGTCATGGAAGGCTTTCACATTGTCCCTCCTCCTCAGGGATGGTAGGATTGGTTATGTGCAGCAAGCATAGTGGGGAGTGGCCAGCTGCAGGGTAGCCAGGAGGGATGTATCTGCATACAGGACAGTAATGACACAAGCTGTCCTTGTGTTTTGCCCTGTAGCTGAATTTTGCTGTGCTGTCAGGTGCCAGTGACCCTCAAGATGGTAGGCAGTACCTAGTGACTTCCAGCAGAGCCTCCTTAGTGCAGTTGGCAGTCAGTTTCATAATTTGAAGATCCTGAGTTTGAGCCTCAGAGATGGCATAGTGAGTCTTTTGCTATGTCCCTTGCACATTTTGTCACCCCTCCCCTATAGTTGCTGGAGTATAGGCTTTCCACTACTGCATTTCGCTTAATGAGGGCCCAGGTGTATGAGCAGCTGCCGTAGTGAAGCGCATGGTTTCTCCCTGCTAGTCTAGGCCAGCAGTTCTCAAATTTTATTGCACTGCATCTTCATTCTGACAAGAAAAACTACTACATTACCCCAGTGCCCTGTGTTACTCAGAATAGTTAGTATTTTAAATAAAATATGCATTACAAAGCTGTATCTACAAAAAGTAGCCATGAAATAGTTTAATTCACAATATAATAGCAAGGCAATCTTTCTATCCAACAGTAAAAAATAAAAATAAATATGCACCTAGTGGGAGGGGTGAGCTTGTATTGATGAACACAAATCCTTGAAGTAGGGGTGTGTGGCTGAGGTAAATATAGAGGTCATCTTCAACAGTGAGATGGAACCTGTATTTGTTTTTCAGTCAAGTCAGCACTGAAAAGCCAGCTTCACACAGCTAGGTGGATGAAAATGGCATGAGTGCTTTCAAAGCCGCAGATGACAGGTCTGGATAGTCTCCTCGCACAGAAATCCAGAAGTTAGCAATAGATTGCTTAGAAAATCTCAGCATCAATGTCTCATCTCAGGAAAGGTCCATTAATGTTTCTTTCACTGTAAGTGACAGAACAGCACTTGCAGTCATTTCTGCATTAAAGGGATTTCTAATCCATGCCTCTGTTTCCCCATCCTTTTCATTGTAGTACTCCCGAAACTGCAGTTTAAGGCTTTCCAGGAGTCTAATAATAATGGGTTGGTTGTGCAAGTCATGCCTTGGCAAGACCGTTTTCATCCCATGTTTTGCTGCAACATGGCTGGCTTAATAGTTGGCACCTGAAGGTAGAGGAGAGCCTTAATAGTCCACCTCTGGAGGGTAAGTGGTAGACCATGAGGCTAGAGCAAATATTCCCATCCACGGCTCAAAAGCCAAGAATGGAGCACCTAGAGCAGCCAGAAAGCAACAGCAGGAATGCTCTTCCACAGAACTAGCTGCACTAATTAAAAAAAATATATATATATATATCCCCGTTGGACACATCTGCTTCCTCCCTGTGCCCCAATTTTACTTCCATTGGCCTAGAACTCCAGCTCAGGGCACTCTGCCTCCTGACTGGCTCAGAACTGGGTATGTGGCTCTGCTTCCAGGAGGAACCAACTAGGGGCGAAGCTTTTCTTGACCTGCTACTCACAAACAGGGAAGAACTAGTAGGGGAAGCAAAAGTGGATGGGAACCTGGGAGGCAATGACCATGAGATGATCGAGTTCAGGATCCTGCCACAAGGAAGAAAGGAGAGCAGCAGAATACGGACCCTGGACTTCAGAAAAGCAGACTTTGACTCCCTCAGGGAACAGATGGGCAGGATCCCCTGGAAGAATAACATGAAGGGCAAAGGGGTCCAGGAGAGCTGGCTGTATTTTAAAGAATCCTTATTGAGGTTGCAGGAACAAACCATCCCGATGTGTAGAAAGAATAGTAAATATGGCAGGCGACCAACTTGGCTAAACAGTGATCTTAAATGCAAAAAAGAAGCTTATAAGAAGTGGAAGATTGGACAAATGACCAGGGAGG